ACAAGCTTGCAGAGTGCACAAATAGCAGGGTAACTGTGGGAGCAGACCCTTACGTGGAGGGTGATAGTTTTGCATTATTTATTCATCTATTGGTCCCCCAATGCATACCCACATTTGTTTACACCTGTGCAAGCACACACAGGCATATACACCTCATTCCTTCCCATGTTTGATGACCTTGTGCCATCTCTTCTTAGTAGGATAACACCTGGCTTCTGGGACCTTTGAAACGCATCTAAGAAGAGAACCAGTAATCAGAAAGAACGAGACAGCTTGTTGGACTTGATCCGCTCTCATCCGTTTCTCCAAATCCAGGAGAGGACTACCTTTCTCAGAATCATGCCCACAACAGAGGGTTCTTATATCTTTTGGGTCTAGTGGGAATAACTGTTAAATGCGGAGTTTCTGAATGAGCCTACTCCAAAGCTAGAAGGGGAACACTTCATTACTTAAGCCTCACTGTTTTCTAAGTGGAAATTGTTGCTCAAGAATTGAGCAGGGTCCCTGGCATATGAATGGAGGAAGTGGAATTAAAAACAAACCTGGTTGCTTCAAAACTGTTTCTCTCTATCCCCGATATCACTAGTAAGTTGTAAAGTCCACCCACAAGCAACCTTACACATTTTGGGTCAGCCTAGTATGACCTTCTGAATTGGCTAAAGCAGGAAGAACTTCCAGCAGATGTTGTGTGGTTTCTTTACCTACCCAGTAGAAAATATGTAGTGAAGAATACATAGCATACGTGTGAATAACATATAGTGATAAATGCATTTAATGAACTTTATATCTTAAAGGATTATCAAATAAATCATGGTTACCAACTATTGAATTACTTAATTTAATACCCAGCTTCAATTACTAAAATGGTGCCTACTACAGGTTTAATATGTTAAAAGATTTTCAGAGGACTTGCTAAATTATTCAAGTAGAAAAGGGCTTGAAATTTAAGAACTTGAGGACCACTAGGTTAAGCTATTCTCCTTGTTTGTTTTCTTTTTGAGACAAGTTTCACAAAGTGTAAGCTGGTCTTGAACTCCTGACCCTCCAGCCTCCCTAACACCAGTCCTGGACTGACAGCCTCCTTGCTGGGCATAAGCAGTTCTATGTTACAGTTTCATAACTGAATTGCCAACTACTTAAGAAAAAGGTTTAGCCCACACATTATCCTCCTAAAAATCTTTCTTTTTCTTTTGGACCTGCACTTGTCTGTGTATGTCCTACAGGTGCCTGTCCTTGAGAGTAGACACTTTCCTTGCTTGATCTTTATCTTCACAGCAGTTGTTCTGCGCATAAATGAGCACGCAGTGTCCAGTGCAGTTTCCACAGCATGTTGGCAGTGCAGGATAACAAAACAATGTCTTCGTATATTTAGCACAATCTGTACATCATATTTCCTATTAAAAAAAACAACCACTGTGTGAGAATGCATTGGCCCTGATCAAGGTGATTATCTAATTTATGTCGGCCTCTTATATAGATAAGCTTAAACAGGAGAAGTATAAAAAAATGTATATTGTCATGATTGACAAATCTGTTTCTTTGGAAGGTGAACTTGGGGTTTTGAAACTGTTTTAAAGTCTTTTGAAAAAAGTTGGAAGGAGGAGGAGATGGAGGAAGAGAAGGAGAAGGTTTATCCCAGGGTTCTGTCAACAATTTCAAAGTGTCAGGGGAAAGTTTAGCAGTGTGTCTCTCTTTTTGCAATTCTCGACTTGGATTAAGTTCCTCCCGTTTGTTTTACTACTATGGTGTATTTCGCTTTTGCATTTGATGGCGCACCAGGGAATAAAAGATCAGTAATTTAGCTCTTGGCCCTTCAGATGCTCAAGTATTTTGAGAAAATATTGGAGCTAATGTTTGATCTTGTAACTGTTAGACAACTGCATAGAGAAATTGAGAAAAACCAGAAGCACTGAGAATGTTAACTGCAGAAATTATGAGACTGAGGTGAGAAAACACACTACAAGGCTCTAAATCTGACATCACTTACACATTTCTTCTTATGCTGCAACAATTGTCTCACAGTGCACCAGTTAGCATTTATCATTCTGAAGCGTGCATTGCTAATAAGATGCCTGTGGCTTTTAGCATCATCCCTTGGTGCTGATGTATTAGGAAAAAGCAGGTTCCAATCACTCAAAGTTGGGATCTATACTAGTATCTGTTGGGGGATATACGTTGGTTAACTAATAGTGGTTAACTAGTTACCTATAAAAGCTGCTCCAAGCCCACTCTGCCATGTTGGAGGGAGGAACTGGAAAAGAAAAGGTGTCAGCCCCCATTCCTTATACTTGTCCTAACTACTCTCACCCTCCCATGAGTGTATCTTGCTGCTAAGCTTTCTCTGTTTCCAGCTCCTTACAGATTAGACAGTACATTATCTATATATTTAACTCTGCCCAGCATGGGAACACAGCCTGAACAGTATGACAAGGCAAAAACTTAGCTACCTGTAATCTTCATCATACATACAATGTACAAGATTTCATGACAATCACCACAATGTTTCATCAGTGACCTCATTTCATGGGAAGGTCATATCCTCAATCTGAACTTTGCCTGGAGCTCATATTAATAAAGTTTTCTTGCCCACAAGCTATTCGACTTATTTCAAAATCTAAGACTCCATGGGACACTTATTAAGTCTCAGGTTGCTTTGAAGTTGATGTTCCAAATCTTATATTTTCCATTGTAGAGGGTGACTTCTGAAGATTCTGATTGGATGACCTTAGGAGAGGCTGACTAATCAAGCACCAGCATATAATTTTTGAAAAGCTAAGAATGTGACTCACATGTAAATACATGTGGTAAGCTCGTATATCTGTTGAAGGATGATTGAACTCATCAGTGAGTAAGCACGCTGGATGACAAAGTTAGTTCAAAGAAGCCTATAGAAGATAAATAAGGTGTGTATTTACTCACGGAAGGAAAGAGTGCCCCATGAAGACTGAGAAGTCAGAGATACCATTTAGTATTGCCCAGTCCAAACATAACCTTCAGAGTTATCTTTTCTATTGCAAAAATTATTTTGCATTAACACCGGTCAAAACTTATTAATGAATTGCATTTAAAGAGCTATGATTTGATTGACTCAGCTTGAAGGGTCATAATAAGTAAATGAATCACAGACTCAGATTTAAATATAAGTGGCTAATTTACAGTGAAGGGAAGCAAGCGAGAGCGAGGGAGCTGGATTGCACACAGCTATTTTCCCAGGGGAGATGAACCCTTATCAGATGGATTAAGGCATTCACTCACTTATCCCCTCATTCCCCACACGATCAGAGCAAGTGACACCTTATTTCTGTTACCAAACCATATTAGTATGTTGAAGGTTGCATACTTGGAAGAAAGTCTCACAAGTCTCATTCCAAAGTGCATACATGATGGCAGCCCTACAGTGCTTCTACTGCTGGCAGTTCATCCATCCCTAATCTCATTAGGCTGTTAATTCCCAGAGGACACAAGCCTCCTAGATGCTGTTTCTAAATGCTAAGCAAATGTTATTAAGTGAGCCCACAGGATCACTCTCAGGCTTAGAAAACATGCTTTGTTTTGCAAACATCCCTGAATGCAATTTGTATAACCTTGCGACTTTACCACACTTTAATGCTAACAAGCTCACCACATACTTTCCTGTAGACATATACCCGAATAGAGATTTCTGATAGAATTAGGGGAATTTCCTTTGCTCCTAAATATAGAATTGGATTAATTATACAAGAGTTTGACTTGCATTTTCTCTAGCAAAAAAAAAAATACATTGTAATTAATTCACTTCACTAAGGGTGAAATATGAAACTGAAGATTTTAAACTAACGAAGCAAATTTAAATAGGATACAGATGGCCCTATTTAGAGGAGCTGAGACGAGGTGACGTAGAGCTGTCCTCTAAAGATGGCATGACAATTTGTACTTATCTTGTTGCTTATCTTTCTGTTAAAAATTCACTACATTTTTTCGATTTCACCAGATTTGTTAAAGTCAAACGTATCCCATACAGCCAGTAGCTTTATTTCCAACTGTACCTTACAATCTCCAAATACAGAAGGCCCTTCTCTAACAAGGCAATCTTTTTCTAAACTAGAATTTTTATGCTCTGAAATTCTGTGCTGCAGCAAAAGCATTTGCTCGTTGCTTTAAAAACAGATCTTTCAAAGTCTGGAACTGACACTTTTTTGGGAGGGGGTGAGCATGCAGGCTTATGGGGGTCCTTTCCCTTTTCATTATCTCTATTCTTCAGGGTTAGACCCCCTACCTTGCAAAACTCAGAGGGGAAACAAGAGCTTTAAAATACAGCCCTGTGTTTCCCCTTTGGAGAAGGGAAAAAGGTGCCCCGCCCCCACCAGTGAAAAGGATTTTACGGTATCTTTAAATCAGATATTTAAATCCTTAGCCCCCCACCACATGGTACACCCCCAAGGCCTATGAACCCCCTCGCAACCTGCCCAACTGCTTTAGACTGGAAATCCCAGTCCTAGCCCGCGGTTATGGTGGGTCCATACTCAGAAGTCACCAAAGACTTGTGTTACTTCCCTTGCGAAGAAACAGAATAATCGTGAAAATTTAGGCGGAAATCGTTTCGTTTTTGTTCCTAAATTAAGGGAAGCATGTGCCCTATAATCCCAGAGAAAAAGAACTTTCAGGGGCAAAGGAGCGACCAGGTAATTTAGAAGAAAAACAGAAAGTGGTCTCTGTTTGCCTGGGACTTCCTTTGGAGTTGGGGGAGTTAGGGACTCCTAGAAGCGTCGTCTTTGGGGATGAGGAAAAAATAAACAGATATTCCGAAGCCTGAGGCTTCTCGGATCCGTTACCGACCAAAGTCGAGAGATTTGGTGCAAGACATTTTAATATTTTCTTCTTTTTGTGAAGTGTAACAAACACAAGTTGAGCGCTGCGCGGCTGCTCTGAGCTTGCCAGCCAGGCAGGCCGCTGGAGCACCAATCAGCGCGCGCCTGCGCTCTATATATACGGCGGCCGGGCCCTTGCTACTCTATCGGCGTATTGCCACTAGTTCCTGAGTTTCGGATCGTCAACATGTCGGAGACCGCTCCTGCCGCCCCCGCTGCCGCTCCCCCTGCGGAGAAGGCGCCTGCCAAAAAGAAGGCTGCCAAGAAACCCGCAGGGGCTCGACGCAAGGCGTCCGGACCCCCGGTGTCCGAGCTCATCACCAAGGCCGTGGCCGCCTCCAAGGAGCGCAGCGGCGTGTCCCTGGCCGCGCTCAAGAAGGCGCTGGCGGCCGCCGGCTACGATGTGGAGAAGAACAACAGCCGCATCAAGCTGGGGCTCAAGAGCCTGGTGAGCAAGGGCACCCTGGTGCAGACCAAGGGCACCGGCGCCTCCGGCTCCTTCAAGCTCAACAAGAAGGCGGCTTCCGGCGAGTCCAAGCCCAAAGCCAAGAAGGCGGGCGCGGCCAAGGCTAAGAAGCCCGCGGGTGCAGCCAAGAAGCCCAAGAAGGCGACTGGTGCTGCCACACCCAAGAAGGCCGCCAAGAAGACCCCGAAGAAGGCCAAGAAGCCCGCGGCTGCTGCCGTGACCAAGAAAGTGGCCAAGAGTCCAAAGAAGGCTAAGGTTGCCAAGCCCAAGAAGGTCAAGAGTGCGTCCAAGGCTGTGAAACCGAAGGCTGCCAAGCCCAAGGTTGCTAAGCCCAAGAAGGTTGCAGCCAAGAAGAAGTAGGCTGTCTTCCTCCTAAACCCAAAAGGCTCTTTTCAGAGCCACCACTTCCACTTAAAGAGCTGTGACATTTGTGTAATAACTGCTTCCTTCCTCCTTGCGTCCCGCTGAAGCAGGTTGCGTGGGATGGATCAGTCAGCTCTCCGGGGTGGGGTTCCCTGTCTCACCTAGGGTGATGCTTGAGCTTGTCGGCTGAGAGGCCGAGAAGGGCTGGTGTGCGCCCCATGGCTGTCAACAGCAAAGAGCCATCCCTTGGCGCTAGCCAGCGTTGGGCTGTAGATTATTTGAAAGTTCCGCCCTGCTTGCGGGTTGGTTCTCTCCAGCTCAGGACTTTAGCCCTTAGTTTGATTGGGCGCCAGTCGGTGTTGCGTTCTCTAGAAGCTTTAGCTTCTTGCATGGAGAAACGCATCCCGGACCCTTTCCCTGAGCGGTTTATGGGCTCAGCGTTTCCTGGGAGTGTTTAGCGCCGACGAATGGACTTAGACATTTAAGCGATAGAGCTGCAGAAAGGACCCACTCGCTCAGTTATGCCGGACCTGGGACTGAGGTTTCTCGTACTTTCGGTTTGTTTGCTACAGCAAGGGAGTGGTGGGTCGAACTGCGTCACAACCTTGGTCAGCCTTTTTTTTTTTTCTAAAAAGGCAATAACTTGCCGGTTGTATGACTTGTTTTGCCTTGTTTTGACACAGGCTCTCCTTTTTAGATTGTTCTCGAACTGGCATTATACTTCAGTTGTAGATATTTGTCGACTAACGATCGACCTCGCATTACATACTGAGGTTTCTCGCTATGCTCTGTGCAGTCCAAAATATTTATTATAGAATAAATTACTGTCTGTTGACAATGTATTGGAATGCGTCCAATAAAAGCCTTTAGTTTTTATTATTGGGAATTCTTTCATGCCTGCCGCCTTTTTCCTAGATAGGGTGATTGAGATTCTCGTTTTTCATCAAATCGGAACAGATTTTTTTGCTGAAGCTTAGATCACTGCTGGTGTTTCCTACAAAAATGGGTAGCATGCCTTTTAGAGACCTACAACAGGCATTTCCACAATTGTGGATCCAGTGTTTATTTCAGTGTCCAAGTTTATTACCTGGGAAAGCCAGGAGATGAAGAAAGGAAAAGTCTAGTTTTCTCAGTGTTTTTGGGTCCTCAGTTTAAATAAACAGCTTTTTTAGTGCAAGGCATAGTAAACAGATCCTTCCTACCCCACACCCTCAGGACTGTCTGTGAACTCTCAATTCTTCCCAGCTTTTGTTTCATGTTTGCCATAAGCTAAATTCCTTGGCTTTTAGTCCCTCGTATCTCTAAGGTAGAATTATCGTCTTGATTCAATATGGAGGGTACTTAACACATAGCAAGGATTCAAATATTGTTTGCTAAATCGGTATGTTATAATGACTTCAATAGGGGATGAGAATTAATTCCTTCCCCCAGTCCCGTCCCCCCCCCCCCCCCCAGCGATAGTTATTTAGTTGTTCAGGGCACTGAACAAGCTAATACCACTGAAATGTGTCCCCTTGTTTCTATTTTGTGAAATAGGTCTCATCCTGTCTTTAGCCCAGACTGGCCTTAAACTTGTGGCCTTCCTACCTCAAGCTTCCTGTAGTTGGGATTAAGGTCTTTGCCACCATGCCCAGTTATTTTCTTTTCCTTTGTCCCTCCCTTCTGTCCTTTCTTTCCTCCTCCTCCTCCTTCTCCTCCTCCTCCTTTCTTTTTAGTGTTTAATATGTTTTTTGAGATGTTATCTAGTATTCCCTCACTCAGAAAAAAGCTTCTTGGCATTTTGATTGAGATTGTGTTTTAAAAAATGTGGAGCTAGCATAGTTTCTTATGCAACAACAAAACCGTGTTTTTTCTTTCTGTTTAGGTATTTATCTCCCTAGACGTCTTTAAATTTTCTCCAAATGTCTTGATGGTCTTCTTACTTTTAATCCTATAGGCATCTTTACAGCTGTTGGCAATAGTACTTTATGAGATTTGATTCCTTAATGGACATCCCAGGAAGTGGACATTAAAACTACTAAGTTATTGAAGCAAATGAATTAACAATTTTAGGACAGGTCTGTCCATTGATACATAAGGTGAGCACAGATGTAACCCATACAAAACTTTAAAATCTAAAAGCACTATTTATAAGGGGAAAAAAAACCACAACAAGTAAAATCCATTTTAAATCCACTACATCCAAAGTGTCATTTAATGTAAAGTGAATATAAAATAGGCAATATGCTATGTTTTCTGGGTTTTGCATTGCATGTTTGTGATAAATGTATTTTTTATGAAGACTGGATGTCTGAGTGTTCCTGATTTCATTGGAGCCAGTTGAGATAATCAGAAATTTTCTATTCAAAATGGAATTGAGTTGGATGTGATGGCAAGGATAAACCCAACCACCTGGAGACTGAGGCAGCAGGATCTCTGTGAGTTTAGATTGCCTGGTCTAGTGAGTTCTAGTCCCGGCAGGTAGACATAGTTGAGACACTGAATCAAAAATAAATCAATAAAAAATTAAAAGATGGTGACTGCGGCTCCTCTTCTGAGCCATTAGAAAGGAGAAACCAAATCTGTTGAGCAGAATGGTAAAATAGAGCAAAATTACAGGGAAGGACTAGATAAAAGATGTGCAGGGCTATATCTTCTCGTCCCCGCATCTGAGTTTCCCAGTTCCTTCCTGAGCCCTGTGAACTCCTGTCCCTGGAAATGCCTCACTGACCTGAATCAAATCAAGTTGTTGCAATTGTGGATGCTTAAAGTAACCCAGGCATGGTGGCTCATCTGTAAAGTCAGCACCTAGGGAGCTGATGTAGGAGGAGCTGGAGTGGTCCACCAGACTGAGCTACTTGCCTGAAAATCTTGCCTGAAAGAAAAACAAAAAAACTGCTGGGTGTGGTGGCCACACCTTTAATTTCAGCACTTGGGAGGCAGAAATAGGTGGATCTCAATGAGTTCAAGGTCAGCCTGCTGCCCTTGTGAATTCCACGTAGGCCAGGGCTATGTGGAGAGATTCTGTCAAAACCAAAGCAAACCAAATCAAGAAACCTACATACAAACAACCACAACAAAAATCAAAATAACTAAACACCCAACCAACAAAAATGTTACTTCAAATAAAACCACAAATAGCGTTTAAAGTAAGACTGAGGATATGTCTGTAATGAGGTCTTGAGTTCCATCATCAGTAAATAAATAGTAATCATCATGTAACAATAAAGCTCAAAATAGTGATACAGTTCAAACTATCCACTACAGTGCACCTTTGAAAAATTTCAAATCTACACATTTATTTGATTTCTATACTTCAGGAGTTATATGTGAAGAATCATCTGAAGAAAAAGTAATTGCTTTTATAATTTTTATTCAATGCTTTTTTTGGATTTTTAAAACTGATCTGAATATAGGTAATGATGTATAAACGTATTTTGTAGTTTTTTTTCCATGTATACTTTCCTCTCCATTTTGGTACTGGAGGTGAAATCAAGGGCCTTGTGTCTGCCAAATGATCTCCCATTGAGCTATATACCCAGTCCTAAATCTGTACTTGTATAAGAAACACTTTCCTTTAATTATTTGAGGGCTAAAAGTGATAGCTCATCCATAGCCTCTAGAACATTACAATTCCCCCACCTTTTTATTTTTTAATTTTTTATTTTTTTTTTTATGGTCTTTACTTTTTTCCCTTTCCTTCAACACAAGTGCTTCAGTAGATGACTGCCTTACGTTTGACCAGCTCTTTATTTGAGCCTAAAAATAGTTTAAGAATTTTTTTCCTTGGTTTATGAGATTGTCACCAAGGACTCTCCCTTTACTTTTGAGTCTCTGGTGACTTCTGAACTGATAAGGCTCAGATGAACAGGAGAAAAAAATTCCTGATGTCATGCATATCCTTAAAGCACAGAGTTCACAGAAAAGGAATAAAACTCAAAGATGTAGTGAGAACTGAGAAACTTAGAATAAATTATGGTAGCCCAGGAAATTGGGGTTCAGGTTTCAGGAGATGACACAGGTGGTAAAGAGAACCATTCCTACCCTCTTAAGAGTTGTGTTCTCTGAGTAAAGCCCTCTTCACATCCAGAGTGATAGAAATTGCTCTCTGTTTCCAAGTAGAGATTCCTTCACCAGGCAACGTTATTTTAGTTTAGATAGGAAAACCGATTTTTCCTGCGTGTACTGATTTTCAGTTCAATATAATCCTCATGCCAACATTCTCTTTTCTTTCCAAGCTTATATCTATTCTTACTAATTTTAAAATTTCCAACAATTAGATATACTATTACTTTTCCCTAGGCCTAAAGCTAACAGGTAATTGAGCTACATAAACTGGAAGGAAATGTGGACAAGAGCTTTGCGTTTGAAATCTCAGCTATAGAGGAACAGAAGTCATGCATGCAGGGTTACACTGTCAGAGCATTTGGAAGAACTCAGGAATTAGGGGCTGGTGGCAGCAACACTTACTGAGAGCTAGCATTACCTGAGCACTCATTTGTAGTAAGTTAAACACAGTAGGTGTTTATTATACACTTATTTCACAACACAGACTTGGCATAGCACATTTAGGTGGGTGTTATTATTACTCCCATTTTAGAGATTATGAATGGAGGTTTGGCAAAACTAAGGATTCAATTAGTTAGCTTCTGATCTATGAGTCAGTATCATTATCTTCTATATAGTAATAACTTCCACAAAACTATATGAAACATATATTTAGTTAAAAATTTCTAATCTTGCATTAAAGCCAAAAGAAACAACTGAAGCCTATTTTAATGCTGTCAACCTAGGATAAACAAATATTTTAATAAATAATTTGAAATATTTTGTCAACTTTTTTTCATATGAAGTCTTTGTAATCAGCAATACACTTTACACTTAAAGCACAATTTGAACTAGACTAGCTAAATTTCAAATACTTATCTGCTATACAGTTCTCATAGTAAATAGTATAGGGAAAATAATACTCTGGGGCAGTATCTATCCGTTTCCAGGGAAACTGACTCCACTGTGGTTCTGCATTTTAGAGAGCATCATTAATATTTTTGCATCTTACTGGCTCATCTATGTCTCTTCACACCAGCTCTGGTTAAATTCAGAATTGAATCCAGGCCAGTCTATCACAACTTCTTTTGTCTATCTAGAGGCAGCCTTATATCTGAGATGGAATCACCTTTGAAGAAGATAAAGTAGAAATTGTGTGTGATCATCCATTTTGATACAAGCCAATTTAACAGAAGATATTAATTGTATTTGTTTGCTGTGAGACTGGTTGGTAACATCTGCCAGTCGTTAACTTACTAAAATCCCTTAGTCTGAAGTAGGAGAAAATGATTTGATAGCTAGTAATAATTACAAGTAACATTTCAAGCTAAATTTCTATTTGTTTCTTTTGAGACAAGATGTCCCGTTGTTGCCCATGTTAACCCAGAATTCGCCCGTGACAGCCAGGCCTCAAATTCCTTATCATCTTGCTTCAACATCCTGATGACGCTAAGGACTTGATTCATTACTGGATGAATCTATAAAGTGTTCTAATGTTATAGCAGGGATTTCACTTGAGGTCAAGAGTATTCAGATTGCTCGTGTAATTACCGCTTTTATTGATCACATGCTTTCTCCCCACTCTCTCGGGGAATGGCCTCGCTCTAGAAAGCAAGAGTCTCAAAGCAGATGAGCTCTGCAAAGTAAAATGTAAACCAAGTATGGGATGCAGGTGGGGAGCCATGTATGATTTGAGAAAGCCAAAACTTAGAGACAAGTTTACCAGGAAGTTAATGAAAACCAAGCGTCTGACCTATCAATTCCAAGGCCGGGGATTTGGGTCCTAAATCTGTACTCATTCTGTTGTTTGGTATTACATTATGAATATAACTTTATTATGTATTGTCGTCATCTTGACTGGGTTTTTGTATACACAGTGTGTATACAAAATATCTTACCAGGAACCATAATGGTATGTGAATAAAATAGCTTTCTTAAATTATGCGTATTTCCCAAAATTAGAATATTACCAACATTCACAGGCTACATAGATTTAGATATTTAACATCTACATTTCCTAATTTGAGTAAAGACTTGATGCTTCTATAATGAAGGTGGAAGACTCAGCTGTGTTGTTTGGATGGCTTTAACACTAAACACAAAGCCTATCCCATAGTTACTTTGTAGTGCAGAGTATCGCAGTCTTTTGGACTACAAACATTTGAGAAACAGGACTAAAAATGAGAGGAGATAAAAACAGTAGTGACCATTGAACGCAACATAAAAGGCTACAGCACAATTAGATGAAAATTTGGGTGGCTCTTAAAAGAGCCTTTTTTTTTTTAAAGAAAACGAGTATGAGTATATTATGCCCTCTCCCCGCGGATGCGGCGGGCCAGCTGGATGTCCTTGGGCATGATGGTGACGCGCTTGGCGTGGATGGCGCACAGGTTGGTGTCCTCAAACAGACCCACCAGGTAGGCCTCGCTCGCTTCCTGCAGCGCCATGACGGCCGAGCTCTGGAAGCGCAGGTCGGTCTTGAAGTCCTGCGCGATCTCGCGCACCAGACGCTGGAACGGCAGCTTGCGGATCAGCAGCTCGGTCGACTTCTGGTAGCGCCGGATCTCGCGCAGCGCCACGGTGCCGGGCCGGTAGCGGTGGGGCTTCTTCACGCCGCCGGTGGCCGGGGCGCTCTTGCGGGCGGCCTTGGTAGCCAGCTGCTTGCGCGGGGCCTTGCCGCCGGTGGACTTGCGAGCGGTCTGCTTAGTACGGGCCATAGTTGCAATGAACACTACACAACTGTAGTGGAGGAAGGGAAATCTTGCCCTTAAATATACTTAGAAACGTTCTGATTGGCCTTGAAACTTTCGAAAGTCCCGCGCCACAAACTCATTGGCTGAGTAATAGTCGGAGTGCCCGGCAGCGTATCTGATTGGCTCCAAAGTTACAGAGAAACTCCTCGCCAAAAATGAAAAAGTAAAAATGAAAAAGTATGTGATTGGTTAAATTATTCTGACACTCTCATATTACTCATTTTTTTTAAAAAAATAGGTCTTTTTTTAAAAAACAAATTGTTCTGTGTATCCTTTGAAATCCAGCAAGCCCGAACGCCTTTACCATGCTCCATTTCCTGTTTCGTGGTCTTATTGTTTTATCACAGTACAATATTAGGGGTTGGTTAAGGAAAAATCACGCCAGTACTCAAAATTTATATTGCTCTTAAAAGAAACAAGTATCCCACAGCCTTAGTGTGGAGTGTTAGCGCATAGCTTTACCAACCTCCAAATTTCAGACAATACTTTGTTTTGTAATAAATTGTAGACTGTGAGGTTTGACTTTGGAGTGCAACATGCCTTTCCTACAGTCATGTATTAACGGTACCCTATTAATCACATTGTTTTGTGAAAAGTGCATAGCTCTCAAGTGAGTCTTTACATATGTTGCTGCTAACTCCTGACTTTTCGTGTTGGTTTTATTTTTCCCTTGGCTTTGTGGTGGCCCTGGATCCTCTTGGGCAGCAGCAGGGCAGAACTTTGCCCAGCGTGATGATGCGCTTATTCTCGTCGTCGCGGGCCGCGTTGCCAGCCACTTCCAGGATCTCGGCCGTCAGGTACTCCAACACGGCCGCCAGGTACACCGGGGCGCCGGCGTCCAAGCGTTACGAGTCGTTGCCCTTGCGGAGAAGCCCGCGCACGAGGAACACAGGGAAATGCAAATCAGCCGGGAAGAACGGGTGTTGGCCTTGGAGCAAGGCTCGCAGCCCTGCTTATATCAAGAATTCATTACAGAAGTTACGTAAACAGTGAAAAATCAGGATTTTAATTTAAGGAAATAGTCTTATAGATTATGCCAGGTAATAAGAGAGAGCAGTCCTATTGGTCAAGTTAACCTTTTCTGTCCAATAAAAAATAAGAATTTGGATCCTTCATTTGCATAAACCCGGCATATTTTTTTTAAAAAAAATCTTAAATTTTATCCAATCAGAGGTGAGTACTTTTACGGCTTCATTTGAATTTCAAGACTATAAATAAAACCATCCTGACCTAATTCTTTTTTTTCTATTCTAGGACCTCCTATTGGGTCTGTAAAGGATGCCTGAACCCTCCAAGTCAGCGCCAGCTCCTAAGAAGGGCTCCAAGAAAGCCATCACAAAGGCTCAAAAGAAGGATGGCAAGAAGCGCAAGCGCAGTCGCAAGGAGAGCTACTCGGTGTACGTGTACAAGGTGCTGAAGCAGGTCCACCCCGACACCGGCATCTCTTCCAAGGCCATGGGCATCATGAACTCGTTCGTCAACGACATCTTCGAGCGCATCGCGGGCGAGGCGTCGCGCCTGGCGCATTACAACAAGCGCTCGACCATCACGTCCCGGGAGATCCAGACGGCCGTGCGCCTGCTGCTGCCCGGGGAGCTGGCCAAGCACGCCGTGTCCGAGGGCACCAAGGCCGTCACCAAGTACACCAGCTCCAAGTGAGCGCACCGACCTCACCCTTAACCCAAAGGCTCTTTTCAGAGCCACCCACTCTGTCAAAACAAGAGTTGTAATTGGTGTCTTTGTACTTAAATTCCCTTTAGTGTAAAGCAAAGAAGTTGGGTATTTTCCCCAAATTTAGTGTACGAAGTTACTCTAGGAAAATACTGAGGTCATTTAGTGTGTTTACCTTAGATGTTCGTTTTCTATTTCTCCAGTTTCTGTTCTATTGTGAGTTTACCGTAAACAGCCGCTAAGTGCTTGCGTTGAGGAAGCGTTTTTAGGGTTTAAAGAGTAGGTTCCTAGTGTAATGTAAGATTTCACCCAATTGAGCCCTCCGAAATCTTGTTTTTTACATTCAGGGTTGGATATTGATGGTGGCTGGAACTCTCAGGAGTTAAACATATCAGTAACCACTTAGCTTTGTTGAGGACCATATTGACAACTGCACTCCCAAGACTTCCAGAGTAATTTCTAGAAACTGGTAAAGGCTTTGTTAAAGGATTTAGAAGTGTCCTGAGACCTTGGACTAGGGGAGGGAGGAAGACTGGACGGAGCCTGGTGAGGTAAAAGGCTTATCGAATAGAAAAATTAAGTATTTTTTCCACTGGCTTTGAGAATATGACAAATTTTGGAAAATAAGGTCTGTAAAGAAACAGGAGTCAAGCTGGATGGTAGTTGGTGCAAGCCTTAAATCCCAGCACTAACAAGGCAGAGACAAGTGGATCTCTGAGCTCAAGGCCAGCCTGGTCTACAGAGCTACAAAGACCTTCCACCCCACAAAGAAAAGAAAAAAGAAACCAATGGCAGAAAGCCCAGAGACTTCATTATCCAATGTGGCAAAATGCATAACCAAGAGGCAGGGAATGCTTAATTGCAGGATGGAGGGTGTAGGTTTCTCAGTTCTGCCTTCAGCATCTTTCAACAAAATTTTGAATTAAATTATGAAATTGAAATCACTATGAAGCTGAGGTTGACATGAAACTTTTGATCTTGCTTCTACCTTCCAAGTGCTTGGATTAGCTGGGATTATAGAAATGTGCCATTACTCCCTGTTCATATGAGTCTGAGGTTGAAATCCAGGACTTGATGCATGCTATGTGAGCATTCTTTTCACCCAGTTACAGACGAAAGCCATGATGGTGTTTTGCTGAGTTATATTTGCTAGTTTTTTGACTTACATTATGTGTGAATCAGGTTTTAAATTTTAAATTTCTGAAACCATGGCACCTACTTAAAATACCACTACCAAGAGTCTCAAATATAGACGTGGTAGGCAAACTGAGACTGCATCTTAAACCATAAAAATCAACATTTTGACACTTCTCTATGCACTTGATGGGGAATATTGGAGGTGGGATTTGTGGGTTCTGTGACGAACATAGGGTATTCCCTAGCTGCTCTCCAAAAGTTCTATAAAAATCATTTCCAGTTGGCAGCTGTTAACACCAACAGAATCTAACCTTTTTTTTTTTTTTTTTTTTTTTTTTTTTTGGTTTTTCGAGACAGGGTTTCTCATTCCTGGAACTGGATGTTATAAAAAATTCATTCTTATAACATTTCATTTAGTGTGACTGCATTATTTATATCTCCTTCATTTTTCTTTCTCATTGACTAAAATAACCCATGCCTCTCAAAATTCTGTGTCATCAAATAATTTTGAAAATACCAGGTTAGCCCATAGGGGATTTCTTAAACCACTCCCCACCTCAGTCATCTAAATACACAAGCTACAAAAGAAGCTCAATTTTGATGAGTCCCTCTGTAAACCTGAAGCAGGGAAATATTACCACAAGAAAGACTGCATGGTAAGACCAGACATTGGTATGTATTGTCCATTTAATACACTTGAATATATCCATATCGATCCTTTCAAAAGAGATGTGTTCTTTCTTACCTTACACTTCCATCGTCTACAGTGAAAACATCACAGAACCACCTAGATTACACTGGATTTTGGAGCAGGAATTTTTCTTTCCTGTGAAGCTGACAGACAGCTAATTTATATATGTTTTCTTCTGTTCATTCACTTGTAATTTCATCGGCTTTCTTTATCAGACCATAAGTCACAGGATGTTTCCCAACCCTTGCACTCTGAAGCAGGATAGACACAAGTAGAAGAAGGGAGGATAATGGGAATTTTGGAAAAGCTTAAAATGCATTGAGTTATAGTCAAGTGAAAACAGGAACACGAGAATAATGGAATTAGCTTGGCAGAAAGATGGACAAGACTTTTCTAGGGAGCAGAGGAGTTCTTGGTACCTCACAGCCTTGCATATTCTTTTGGATCAGTGACTATGTATGTTCTCTTTGCTCCCAGACTCCACGTGTCTATCATTTTAGCGATGAGTGACCCACTATAAGAAAACCTACATGATATACTTATATATCTATATATTTACGTGCCTAATTATCTACCAAACATCTATCTACTTAAGTACACACACACACACAGAGGCACACATATTTTTTTCCTTTTCTTTCTTTTTTTTTTTTTTTGAGATTTGTGGAGGTAAAACAAAGCCTGGCATAGAATCTCAAAATGTGTACTGAACCTGTTATGGGGCGCCCATCAGAGATGACCAGTAAGACACAATTTATATATAGACAATTGAATTATTTATTCCTCAGTCCAGAGCATTTAGAGTAAGAGGGTATTAAAGACAAACCCCACATACTGGGGTATCACTCTGCAAATCTAGAGAGAGGATTTCAGCAGCTCGTAGTTCAACAGAAGTTATCTGAGGCATCTTGAACTCTGGTTCCTAGAATGCAGCTGGGTAATTTTTAATGGGATCCTACCAGGAAATGAAATACAAATTGAACCTAAAATGGCCTTAGCATAAACACGAAATGCAGTAAGCTCTGCACCGTCTTGCCTTGTCACAAAAACCGTAATTCTTTGTGACTCAGAACAACTCAGAAACAACGCCTCCTGTGTATTTGAGAACTTTTAATACCAAAATCTAGAAAGAAAATGTCATTTAGTTATTTGCATTTAAGCAAAGGTTGGGAAAAAGTCAGATGAGCTCTTGGCTCTTAATGATGAGGACCAGAGTTCAACTGTTTGAACCCTCTTTTTTCCTTTTAAAGTAGAAATTGAAAGAAAGTAGAGTAGACAAAAGTGCCATATGCAAATTAGGAAGTCAAATTCTTAGTTTCTATTGGATATTATCTCTTAACCAATGAGAGCAAGGCAGTCAGAATCCTAACAGCTACTATAAATACTTCACATTTCCAGTTCGAGCGGTATACCGATATTTTCTTCTCTTACTAGTTCTTTCTATAGCTTAACTGTAGCTATGTCTGGACGTGGCAAGCAGGGCGGCAAAGCTCGCGCCAAGGCGAAGACCCGCTCCTCCCGGGCCGGCCTGCAGTTCCCCGTGGGCCGCGTGCACCGCCTCCTCCGCAAGGGCAACTACGCGGAACGGGTGGGCGCCGGCGCCCCGGTGTACCTGGCGGCCGTGCTGGAATACCTGACGGCCGAGATCCTGGAGCTGGCTGGCAACGCGGCCCGCGACAACAAGAAGACGCGCATCATCCCGCGCCACCTGCAGCTGGCCATCCGCAACGACGAGGAGCTCAACAAGCTTCTGGGCCGCGTGACGATCGCGCAGGGCGGCGTCCTGCCCAACATCCAGGCGGTGCTGCTGCCCAAGAAGACCGAAAGCCACCACAAGGCCAAGGGAAAATAAGTTCCTTACCTGTCTAGTCTTGGACTGTCTTGGTGGAAGTCACCTCAAAACAAAGGCTCTTTTCAGAGCCACCCACATTTTTCCAAAAACGAGCTGCCACCTCCGGTTGAGTTTTCTAGTACAGTGTGTGGTTATTGTTCAAGGCATATGATTACTACATGAAATTCCAATCCTTGCTTTGTAACAGTTTTCGCACTGTTGTCTTACTATAAGTACTTTTGGAGATAGTTTCTCCCAACGTGGTCGAGAACCAAAGTTGACAACCCGTTCGTATTCATCAACACTAAATAAACAGTAGCACCCGAGTATTTACTGATTATTACCCGGCTTTACAGTTTGCATTGCTCACAGTTCGTTTTTGCTGACACGACTTGCTTCCGTGAGATTCATCGGGCATTCAAGTATTTGCAAGTGATTAACAGTACTCAATACTAAATTACTACAGCACCTCTCGTCAATCCCACTAAACCTTATTAGATGAAATTCCTGGTTACCGAGTTGAATATTTTCAGCCTAATCCTACTGAATGTACAGATTATTTAGCAAAATTTCTAGGCATAGCAGTTATTGTGACGAAAGTGTAAAGGCGGAAGTAAAGATGGACAAGGGGCGGATGCGCCGTGTGACGGAAGGGGTGGAGAGAGGGCAGGTTCATTCAAAGACCCGAAAGCGTGTGTTTTAATCAGGATTTAGGAGCAGAGACCGGCCAATCCCGGAAAAGCGCGGGATCGTTTGAATGTTCTTGTGTCCAATAGCGGATAGCCTGATTGTATAAAAGATGGACAGCGTACGGGAAGTTATCATATTGTATTTCTACTCTCTTTTGCTTCAGTTATGGCTCGTACCAAGCAGACCGCTCGCAAGTCCACCGGCGGTAAAGCTCCGCGCAAGCAGCTGGCCACCAAGGCCGCCCGCAAGAGCGCCCCGGCCACCGGCGGCGTGAAGAAGCCCCACCGCTACCGGCCCGGCACCGTGGCGCTGCGCGAGATCCGGCGCTACCAGAAGTCGACCGAGCTGCTGATCCGCAAGCTGCCGTTCCAGCGTCTAGTGCGCGAGATCGCGCAGGACTTCAAGACCGACCTGCGCTTCCAGAGCTCGGCCGTCATGGCGCTGCAGGAAGCGAGCGAGGCCTACCTGGTGGGTCTGTTTGAGGACACCAACCTGTGCGCCATCCACGCCAAGCGCGTCACCATCATGCCCAAGGACATCCAGCTGGCCCGCCGCATCCGAGGGGAGAGGGCGTAAACTCTTGGCCAGTGCAAAATTGAACCCAAAGGCTCTTTTCAGAGCCACCCACGTTTTCTGTAAAACAGCTGTGATTCAAAACTAATACTTGTTTTTATGCACAACCTAGAATATTATCCTTTAACCGATTCTATTTAAATCTATTATATTACACTGCTTAAACTGGCTAAAGAAGTAGGCCAGTCTGTCTTAACCGTCTACTGTGAGTAGGTTCTTTGGTACTCTTGTACTGATGAAACCCTTTTTATTAAGCCACAGATGCTGCTCTTTCTAGACTTTTCCACTAGGTTTCTTACACCTAATAAAAATTTGCTAAGATCTAATTTGATTGGGTGATTTGCTTGAATGGACTTTCTACGACCTTAAAATATGAACCCACTGCTTTTGCATACTATTTTATATGTAAGTATTGACTGGGCCCTAGTGGCTCAGGCGTGAACTCCCTAATACCCCATAGGCTGAAGCGGCTGGATCACAAGTTTAAAGTTTGCTTGCCTTACAGGATGACCTCAAAGATAACCTTGGTAATTTATTAGGACCCTGTCTCAAAATCAGAACGTGCTGACGTAGAGGTCAAAGGGAGCCAACACTTTCCTAGCCAGTGTGAAGCCCTAGATTCAATTCCCAGTAAACAAGAAAGTAAAGGTGTATTCCAGGTGTTTGGTTTTTCTAGAGGCTTTTAAGACAGCTCTACCTGGCAACTGCCTGTCATCCACAGGTGTCTCAATGTGATGGGGTCCTTTGAAGGTCTATCATTTCAATATTTTGATTTTTAGCTGTACTGGCTTTGATGTCCCTGCTTAAGTTTATTTTTTATCTATTTTCTCCAACTATAAGAAACTAGTGTTTTCAGCGTAGGTCCTGACAGGCGAGCCCTTCCTGTTTTTCTGTAATAAGATAGTCTTACATTATCCTGACTCCACAGCCCCTCCTAAAACCAAGGGTAAAAAAAAAAAATGGATTCTGGATTCATTCTTCATTTACTTGAGGCTTTAATAGAATTTCACAATGAGAGCATGAGAGAGAGAGAGCGAGCGAGCAGGTTCCTTTAAAGGCTCCACACCAGGGCCCTGGCACTATAAACGCAGCCACTTGTATGGGAAGCTCAGGCAGACTCACATTCTGTCCTTGGTGTCTGTTGTGCCATCTGAAAGGATCTTTTTCCCCATCTGAAAATGAGATCAGCACCATCTATCCTCCACGATTGGGACGGGGTATATTTGAATGCCTGGTTTCAGTCTTTCTGAATTGTCTATTCTTTTTCTTTATAGTTTAAGTTTTTTAAAAAATCCCAAACTAGCTTCTTAAATTACTTTTTACTTGGCATAAAGTCTGCTCAGTTTATGAATAAAATAGTTACCATGTACTTAAAAATCAACAATGGAAGAAATTCAAGGTCTTTTAGGTTTGCTTTGTTTCTTTGTTTCAGCAAGGGGAATAAGTATTGCTAATAGCTCCCTATTCTCTGCCTAAAACAGGAGAAAAGAAATAGTGTTCAGCAGAAGGCTATGGATGAGATCATTGTGTACCAAACTGTCAGTCACTAAAGGCTAAGTGAATTTCAAATTGTGATTAAACATTGTTTAGCTTTCTGTAGCTTATTTACTCTCCCACAGTTGACTGTGCTCAACTTTGAATAAAAACGCTTTATTTTTGTCATTTCTTCTGGTCTTCATTTGTGTATTGTGACTTGTTGCCTTGTCCCATAAGTGATCTAAAATATATTTTTGTCAAATTCATTCTCAGGCTCAGATGGAGATCCTGACAGTAAAGCCTTATCTTTATCCATATAAAATTGAACAGTCAGCATGTATTAGATACACTAGACAGTGGTTGTTCTATGAACTTCAGAAAGCATCTGTTCTCCAGGTACCACAGAGTGGTATTAGGCACAGGATGAAATTACAGCTACTGTTCTTCTTGTTGCTGTTGTTGTTGTTTGAGACAGGGTTTCTCTGTAGCTTTGGAGCCTGTCCTGGAACTAGCTCTTGTAGACCATTGGCCTCGAACTCACAGAAATCTGCCTGCCTCTGCCTCCCGAGTGCTGGGATTAAAGACTTGTGTCACCACCGCCCGGCTAGTGTTCTTGAAGACAATGGTTTTTGTGAAAGTTCAAGCTCTTAAAGAAAAGGAAGATCTTATATTCAGGACACACTCTTTAGACTGAATAGTACAGTCATATACAGTGACACAAGCCTGTAACCCCGTTCTGGGAGGTTCAGCCAGAGACTTGCAAATCCATTCCTGGCTATATTGTGCTATGCAACATTTTCTGGAAAAAAGGAGGAGGGGGAGGAAGGAGACAGGGAAGGGAATGGGGGCGGGGAGAAAATAGAAAATGAAAAGACTAGAAGGACAGAAGTTAACAGTAGGCCATCCAGTCTTGACCAGAAGCAACTTCCCGAGTAAGAAATGTCTCAGAAAAATCAAGCATGCAGGAAAAAAGTGAGTAGAAATTCATGAACTTGAACCACACACTTGGAAAAGCTGGGATATGAATGCCAACACACCAGAGGAAAAAGGACAAAAAGAACTTTTCAAACAATTTTTAAAACTACATCCCTGAAATACAAACCAGGATCTGACATTGTCTTATACTTTACCATCCGCGGTGATTAAAAGCAGTGCCAGACACTACTGTGATGAAGCCCATCACACAGGGTTTGTTTCAGCTTCCACTTTCACATCACTGGTCATCACTGAAGTTAGGACAGGAATTTACTCAGTGCAGAAACCTGGAAACAGGAGCTGCTGCAGAGACCACAGAGGGGTAATACTTACTGACTTGCTTCCCATGGCTTACTTTCTTAGCGAACACAGGACCACCAGCCCAGAGATGGTACCTCCCACAATGAATCCCTAATTAAGAAAATGTCCTACAGGCTTCCCCAGCCTGACCTTATGGAGGCATTTTCTCAACTGAGGCTTCCTCTTCCATGATGACTCCAGCTTGTGTCAAGTTGGCATAAAAGTAACCGGCACAAATATTAACAAGTAAACATATTTAAACAGTACTTCTTTGAAACAATCACATTTTAACTAACATATTACCCAATCCAGTTCCCACAAAATACTGGTAGCATTGTTTGTTGTTTAGGTAAAAGAGAGAAAGGGAAAACTACCAGTGCACATATCTATCAATTCATCCCTTTGAATGAGGAATACACTATAGGTGTGGCGAATCACACCTCCGTCATTTTGAAGTCCTGCTTAGGACTACAAATTAAATTACGAGAATAGAAGCACCAAGCATTTAACAGTTTTACTACTCTTATTCAAAACAGTAGTCGGGCACTGGTGGAGCCTATCTTTAATTCCAGCATTTGGGAGGCAGAGGCAGGCGGATCAAAGATAACCTGGTATACAAAGTGAGTTCCACTACAATAAGGGCTACACAGAGAAACTCTGTCTCCAAAACCAAGCAAACAAGCAAGCAAACAAGCAAACAAGCAAAATCCAAAGCAGCAGAATCCACTACATACAGAATCAGGCAAAGGAACAAATGCAACGATTTGACAAAGCAGAGGGGCTTCAGCTAGGCTAAGGTATTTTAACAAGGTTTACTGGCACTGATTCTGCCTCAGTTCCTCCTAGTAATAAAAAGGTCTTATTTTGTTACTTTACTATCTTTCACATCAAAATTTTCACTTTCAAGAAACAATAATAATGTGTTCTTTTGCCACCAGGTGTGTGTGTGTGAGTGTAAAGCTTTGAGCATACATGATTTAGAGTAGTATATGTTTTAACACCTTCAAGTACTGGACCATAAATGCGTGATTCTTTGTTAGAAAATACATACAAAAATATAACTTAGATTAAACTAGTGGTATAGTGCAAGCTGGGCACAACCTTGGGGAAACCTTCTGCCTGAAGAAAGGCAGCATTCCTTGTGTTCCACTCCTTGATCTCCGCCCTGCCGGGGCGGAGCAAAAGGTGCCTTGGCAGCCTTTTGGTTTCCGCCCACTTGAGGTTCTCAACCAGGTCCGATAGGAGCCTATAATAAGCCACCTTCAGTTTTTGCCTTTCGCTTGTTCTTTGGGATTTCAAGCTACTAATCATGTCTGGTCGTGGCAAGGGCGGGAAAGGCCTGGGCAAAGGCGGCGCCAAGCGCCACCGCAAGGTCCTGCGCGACAACATCCAGGGCATCACCAAGCCCGCCATCCGCCGCCTGGCCCGGCGCGGAGGAGTCAAGCGCATCTCCGGCCTCATCTACGAGGAGACCCGCGGGGTGCTGAAGGTGTTCCTGGAGAACGTGATCCGCGACGCGGTCACCTACACGGAGCACGCCAAGCGCAAGACCGTCACGGCCATGGACGTGGTCTACGCGCTCAAGCGCCAGGGCCGCACCCTCTATGGCTTCGGAGGTTAAGCTGTTGCCTTTTCCTCCACTGTCGCAAAAGGCCCTTTTCAGGGCCACCCACTTGGTCCTTAAAAAGCTGTGCATTTCGTGTAGTATCGTGGTTGTCGAATGCGTAATTTATGCTTCCTTTTCCTTGTATATATGCAGGCTCAGGGTTCTCTAACTTGCATTAAACAGCGCTTTTGTACTAGCTGTGAGCCGTTATGCGGGAATCTTCACCCCTTGCCCCAGATATTTATGCTAAATGATACTAAGGTTTCTTTAAAGGATCCTGCACAACTACGTATTCAGTCCTCTACGAAATTCACATCGGCTATTTGGATGTTGTGGTCATGGGAAATCCTAACCTTGAAGGAGCTCTCGGGGATACAAAGAAGGTGGGCTTATAGCTTAGTCTCTTAAGCAGAAATAACTATGTCTTTATTAAGGAGACTTGTAATTCAGTTACGGAAAGTAAAGCAGGGTTAGTAAACTCTAAAAGGCTGTTTTCATTCTCAGAGTGGATTCAAGGTCATGTTGGACAGCCTTAAAAATCCTATATTGGGGATAAATAGGTTTTAAAGCCTTTCACCACCAGGGCCTAATTTCAATCACCTATTACCACTACCTGAAGAAAGAACCTTAGGGTGGTGCCCAAACTGAAATAGCATCCAGATTAGAATCCATTCAACTGGTGGGGAAATCACTTAAGAAACAGGACACAGAGAAGCCCTGTCTGGAAATAAAACCGAGAGGAAAGGAAAGAAAACCAACAGGCTCCAGTGATCCTGCAGGTCTTAAACAGAATTAAGAGTAAGATTTGGGGTGTAGAGGAAACCTTAGGTCCCATCAACATACAGTCTGGTGGTAGTTTTTGTTTCTCTGTTTGGGTTTTGTTTGTTTAGGGGTGTGTGTGTGTGTGTGTGTGTGTATGTGTGTATTGTAGAAAAATCAGTGGATTTGACTACTAGAAGATAGAAAGGAAATATTGGTACAAATAGTACTGACATTTATGTGATGTTTTCCTTGGCCACCCCTTCCAAGCAGTGCATTTAAATAAACATTGACATAAAATCTATGTAGTTTCTATGGGTAATGCAGAGATAATAGAAAATATAATGTATACATACAGGTTGCTTGTTTATGCCACTATGCCACCATATACAGGGCTGCAACATCTTCAAACAGTCTTTGAATGCCTGCCCCATGAGTTTTGACAGTAGACTAAATAGCAAAACTAAATGAGATTAATAATGTAAAACATAGTGTAATGCAACATTATCTGTAAAGTGAACAGGTAGAGACAGGGCGGTTTCAGCAGAAGAAACAACCTATATTCTATATCCACTGTCACCCAGCACTCCAGAAACAGATGGAGAAGGACCTCAGATCTGAGGCCAGACTGTGCTCTGTAGCACGTGGAGAGATTCAGAAATGAGAGAGATTGTATTACGTGTATTGTATATTCTGTCTTCGTTCTTACACCTTTTTATCATTCCTGGAGCTACATCTTTGTCAACTAATGTGTTCTGTAAAATACTTTATGTTTAATAGAACTCCATGCCCCAGCTGGGAAGCCAGGTTCATCCCGTAGCAGCGCCAAAATTGATAAGAGTGGCAGCTTATGGTCATTTCTCAACACACCAGCAGGATTATCATTTTTAAAGATATTAAATCTACTCTCTGCCCAGAATATTATGCTGAACTACCACAGTACTGGTCACAATGTATAGTTCTCAGGCCGGGCAGTGGTGGTGCACGCCTTTAATCCCAGCACTCGGAGGCAGAGGCAGGCGTCTGTGAGTTCGAGGCCAGCCTGGTCTAGAAGAGATAGTTCTAGGACAGGAACCAAAAACTTCAGAGAAACCCTCTCTCAAAAATAAATAAATAAATATAAAAATAAAAGATTTTCCAAACCTCAGGTTGTCAAAAAACAACAACATCAACAACAACAAAAAAAAAAAAAAACAAACAAAAAACCCACAGTTCTCACTTCAAATAGAGTACGAGATAGTTTACTTGGGAGCTCAATAGCAGTGACCATGGACCAGGAATAGAGGTTTAAGTTGCCCCCAATTCTATGTTCCCGTGTAGAAGCAGTTTCATGAAAGGTCATTAATTAAGGCACTTTTTTGAATATATTGGTGGAAACATTAGATAGGCAGTCACAGCAAGGAGCGAAATCTCTGCTACTGGCCTCATATGATGTCTGATGACTATACCCTTTTCATTGTTGGTACAAGCTAGACTTAATACATTTCCAGAAGTTTTTATCTGTTAAGTTATAGGATTAGGCGTACACAGCACAGAAATTGGCAATAACTATTCAGGGAGCTAAAGACTGACTCAAATAATTTGTAATTGAATTTTGAATACACAACATTCCGTCTGCTCAACGTCATTGAAGGTCAAATCACTGTCAGGCTTTGAGGATACAACGTCTTTCCAGGAATTGTCATTCACACAGTCCCTAATTCAATACCTAACTCTTTAAGAGTGACCATATGGGAGTTTTATTTAATGTAATATGTATAACAATATTCTTAGTATGTGTATGTAGGTAGGTGTGTAAGTATGTCCTCCTTCTCTAGGACATAATGCCTTGACAGTGAGGACTTCATTGTGTCCTCATGACTATAGCATCTAGAACAACACTGCTATCTCATAATTTGTCTATAGACTGTAATTTATGCTTTCTTTTGTCATTTATTTTAAAGTTATTTTTATTTTATTGTATAGAGGTTTTGTCTGCATTATGTCCGGGTGCCCAGAGTACAGAAGAGAATATTGGATTTCCTGTGATTGCAGTTAGAGGATATTGTTGCAGCACAATTAATAAAAACCCAAAACAGATACCGGGGTACAACCTAAAGATCAGAAAAGAAACACAGCCAACCATGGGCTCTTATCTCTACCTCAGTCCGAAATGGTGATCCAATGGCATTCCTGCCTCCTTGAATCAATCCTCAGAATGAGACTGTGAGAGTTGTCTCCTCCCATCTGTATTCCTCTCTAGTGCTGGGATTAAAGGCGTGCACCAATACTGCCCGGTTTCTATGGCAAACAAGTGTGGCTACACTACTGGGATTAAAGGTGTGTGCCACCTCTGCCTGGTCTGTAAGGCTGACCAGGGCGGCTGTTTTACTCTCTGATCTTCAGGTAACCTTTATTTATTAAACTACAAATGAAATTTCACTGGATTTCCCCTTTTTGTCTAAAATAAAAGGGGCTATAGCTAATATAAGAAAAATATATAAGTACAATGACTATATATAATATATATAGGCAATAAATACATCAACAATGTCTAGTCCATTTGCATTTGACAAATTCAGAGAAAATACTCCATAGCTATCCTATCTTAGTGACTCCGAAGTCTTGTACCTAATTTACTTTTTATCATAACTTGCTTTCTGTGTCAGATAAATAAGGAAAACTGTAACTATCCAGTCTTCAACTCCTTCTGATATCCAAGAAGGAAATAATAATAACTGATAAGAAGAAAGTGTGAGCAAGCGACTTCCAAACATATGTGAGAGATGACAGAAATAGCTGGCTGCCTGGACAGTCACCCACAGTTCCTCTACAACGTTGGGGCATCTATCTTCGGCCTACAGGCGACTCTTCTGGGAAGCAGGATGTTTTGAAGGGCTGTCCCTTCTTGTCCTGACATTGGGCAGTCACTTTCTTTTGTGTTCTGCTTGCCCAATTAGGACGTCATACAATCAGCAGTCGAGGCAGGGGCATTTTCTTGCCCAGTGGTTTACCTTTGCCACAAAGAAAGTAAGCTCCATGTGGAGCTGCTTCGATGCCCATTATCTTCTCTGAAGCAGATTGGTTGGTGCTGCCAGCAGCAAGCATGTCTCATTGTGATGGAAAAAAAAAAAAGAGCCAATGTTATTAGAACATCTTAAATGCCATATTCTGTAGACCTCTGAAGTGTTTGAAGATGGCCTGTCTAAAATATATGTTTGACCTTGAAAACATTCCTAATGTGCCTACAAGTTCAATTGTAATAGGTGACTAATTACTAACCTGAATTTCCTTATTATCCTAAACAGTTGGTAATAATAACTTTCAAAGACTAGACATTTGCAATACATTGTTAAAAGAGCTGTATACAATACCTTGAACAAGATTAGAAATGTATATACAGTATGTTTTAACAAAATTAATCTCCAATTTGTATCAATATACAAAATTTGTATGCAATATACAAGAGTCCAATCTAATGTGAAACATTTAAAACTAGTAGTTGCTTTTTAAAAGTAGATTCAATAATCTACCTTTTTATCCTATTCAATCTATGCCCCCCTTTTTTTCTTTTCTTTTCAAAAAAAGAACTTAGAATCTAATTTCCTTTATTTACCTTTTTTTCCTGGCCATTACCAATAACTTGTAGCCACCCTCCCCTCCAAACAATGACAAATATCCATAATCCATTGAATGACCCAAAACCAACCACCCCCACCCTCTTGGGAACATGGGCATCGTATTCTTAAATTTACTTCCTGCTGTCTGTGGGCGAGGGTATCTTTAGGGGATCCTGAAAAGAAACATGTGGGTTAATTGTCAAGTCCTGGGAGGTGTAGCTGTACCATTTTTTTTTTTTTTTTTTTGGCCTGTCTATGAGAAATAGGGAAGTGCAAAGCTTGTTTCAAATCCCAGCTAGAGCAATCTATGAGGCTGGATCATCTCAGTTAACCACCTCGAAATTATTCTAAGCTGTTTGTAGTCCAAAACTATCAGTTGAATGGCATCATATGATGTAGCGGCGTAAACGAATGCAGACAGATTGTAAAAATATATATAGTTTTAATGTAGAAATAGACTTACAGAACCACCGTTCCCGCGGAGACCAGGAAAGCAGAAGAGAGAGCTCGGAGCTTGCTCCCCAAATTTATAGGTAGACATTAGCCCGAGGCGAACACGCCCCTTAAGGGGCGGGACTTATCCCTACAATATGAACCAGGTGGAATCGTTGTGGGGTCCCATCTTCTTCCTAGAGACTTCAGAAATCATTGTAGGAAAATTTATCATTGTGGAAATTTATCATTGTGGAAAACTTATCACTGTGGAAA